TGCCACAAAAGCATTCATCTGCACTAATGCATGGATGATTTTACTACCAGAAATGTGAAATTATAGAATTTGAACAAAAGTCTGGATAGTCTGACAAGTTTTTTAAATGCATGAAACAGAATATTCAGGATGTTAAGTGAATTTAATTTTGGATCCTTGTCTTACCTAGAGAAGTATCAGTAATGAGAAGAGGAAGTTCATTCAGTCAGCATACAGAACAATTACATTTAGATTTGTTCAGTTAATATGTTCAGTTATAGCAGATTTATAGATTCATAGATGCTAGAGTCGGAAAGGACCTCAATGGATCATTGAGTCCGACCCCCTGCCTGTGGCAGGAAAAAGTGCTGGGGTCATGTGACTCCAGCCAGGTGCTAATCCAGTCTCTTCTTGAAGACCCCCAAGGTAGGGGAGAGCACCACCTCCCTTGGAAGCCCATTCCATATTCTGGCAACCCTGACCATGAAGAAGTTCTTTCTGATGTCCAGCCTAAATCTACTCTCTTGTTCCTGATTATTCCAAGGGGTGTCCTGGTAAACAGAGCATCTCCTATTCCCTGCTGCACCCCTCCTCCCCCCCAGTGAATTTGTAAACTGCCACAAGATCCCCCCTCAGCCTTCTTTTGTGGAGACTGAAAAGATCCAGGTCCTTTAGCCTTTCCTCACAGGGCCTTCCCTGCAGGCCTCTAACCATACGAGTGGCCCTCCTCTGGACACTCTCGAGGTTGTCCACATCCCTCTTGAATTGTGGCACCCAGAATTGGACGCAGTACTCCAGCTGTGGCCTGACCAGTGCCGCATAGAGGGGAAGCATCACCTCCCTGAAGCTATTCATGATGCAACTACTAATGCATGACAAAGTGCGGTTAGCTCTGCTAATTACTTTGTCACATTGATGATTCATATTCATCTTGGAGTCGGCAACAACTCTGAGATTTCTTTCTGCCACTGTGCTGCTGAGAAGGTCACCCCGCAGCCTATAGGTGTGCTGGTGATTCCCTCTCCCTAGGTGCAGCACCTTGCTCTTGTTCTTGATGAACTGCATCCTATTGTTCTCTGCCCACTTCTCTAACCTGTCCGGGTCCACCTGGATTCAGTTTCTTCCCATCAGAGTGTTTACTTTGCCCCTTAGTTTTGTGTTATCTGCGAATTTGGACAGAGAGCTTTCCACACCCTCACCCAGGTTGCTGATGAAGATATTGAACAGCACCAGCCCAAGGACCGAGCTTTGGAGGACCCCACTGCCCCCATCTGTCCAGGTCGATACCGACCCTTCTACCATCACTCTCTGGGTACGACCCTTAAGCCAATTTGCCACCCACATGACTGTGTAATGGTCTATGGCACAGCCATTCAATTTGTTCATGAGAATTGGATGGGATGCCATGTTGAAGGCCTTCTTAAAGTCCAAGTAGATGACATCTACCTCAACTCCTGCATCTAAGCATTTAGTGACCTGGTCATAGAAAGAAACAAGGTTAGTCTGGCAGGTTCTACCTGCTATGAACCCATGTGGGTTCCCCTTCAGCATTATATTACCTGGTGAACTCCTACAAATGTGATCCTTGATAATTTTTGGTGGTGGGACTAATCAGTCTATAGTTACCTGGATCCTCTTTCCTGCCCTTCTTGAAAACAGGAACTACAGTGGACCTTTTCCAGTCCTCTGGGACCTCACCAGAGCACCACGAGTGCTCAAACAGCCATGCCAGTGGCTCTGCTATGACACTAGCTAATTCTTTCAGCACCCTTGGATGAAGCTCATCTGGTCCCGCTGACTTAAACACAAAGTGTGTCTTTACTAGGTCACTGCTGACAGTAGGTGGGCTGGTATTCCTCCTGCTTCTATCTGTAATGCATGTGGGAGATTTGTCTAGATCTCTGTTCAAGAATACAGAGGCCAAAAACTCATTGAAGAGCTCTGCTTAGTCTCTCCTTTCTGTCACCAACTGCCCTAGTCTATCCTGTAGGGGTCCTATGCTGCCCTGTGCCTTCGTTTTATTCCCTATATACCTGAAGAAGGACTTTTGTTGTCCTTAATTTTTGCTGCCAGCTTAAGTTTTAATGCTGCTTTGGCCTTCTTGACTGATTCCCTGCAAGTATGAACCAAGGAGGTATACTCCTCCTTGGTAGCTGCCCCCTGCTTCCACAGCCTTTATGCCCCTTTTTTTTGCCCTTACCTGTCATTACAAGTACTAAACTTAACGCGCCATAATTACAGCACATTAATGAACACGTAGACATGCCCACTGTCCCAGAGGGTTGTTTTTTTTAATGGTGAGTTGCTATAAGAAAGGAACACTCTAGCAAGACGATTGGATATTATTATTCATATAGCCAGGAAAAGCAACTGAAAAACTGTAACTAATAAAACAAACAATGTGGGAGCTTGACAAAAAACTAGCTGCCCTACATATGTATCTATGGGACTCCCAGCAGCATACTTCGAACTCTGTAACCAATGGTCTGAACCAGATTTTTGTGCACATGGTTCCAAACCATTACTCGAGTGACCAGAATGATTAGAAATTGGCCTTCAGACATGAGAATAGAGAAACACTCTCTGCTTCTTTATGGTCTACTGAATGCATCCAAGATTTCTGGAATGCCTGGCCTCTAAGCTGGACTCACAGGTTTCTGGTCCTGCATCCAGTATTGAGCACAGGCAGTGTATGTGTTTCTGATAATCTACATTTTACAAATGCATTCAGTTTCCCTGGGAAAGTTAGAAAGTAATAATGCTGCATATTAGTAAGTGTAGGTGTGCTTATGTACATTTTGAACATGTTCAAGTACATTTCTTTACTTCCATTAGGGAACTTGTCCATTGCCAGAAATCAGTGCAAATGAATCAGTTCTCAAGACAGGTCATTCCTGGTTTCTTTCAGCCTGGAATTGCAGCTGAAGCACATTCACATTCAGCACTTGCTCACTGCACCTATGACATGCAATATGAGAAATTCAGCAATAAGCAGCTTTTTTTGTGTGGATGGATCTATGCTACCTGTAGGGAGGACCTGGGCAGGCTGGGGGACAGAGGCTTTGTTGACTCTTCTCGGTGACAGCCAAGGAGCAGGGCCAGCCTGGCACTCAGGCAGACCACACGAGCTATGGCCGTGACTAGAGCACTGCTCTGTGGGGAGGGAGGAGCAGGGTGCCACAAAGTCTGCTGAGCTGCCAGTGGAAGCATCCAAACATGAGTCAAGATAATATCTGGTACAGATATTCATTACAGTGCTCTAAACTACAACAGTGAAGTCTAATACCATGTCCATCTAGGGATTCACCATTTTTATAGCACTCTTTGGGCTTCTGTACCTGGCCCAGGTTACTAATGCAGTGGGAATGTAATCTTAATTAGAAACTCCTCATGCAGGAGAAATTGCCTTGCTAATCACATCTCTCTGGATAAGTAGTGTCATTTCACCATGCGGCTGTTATTCAAGCTAGGTCAGCTCCAGTAGAACAACTCAAGTTAATACACTGCAACATTTAACTCAGTAAAGCATTTTATTCACTCAGCATTTTATTCTCTCATGCATCTCCCAGCTACTTCTATTTGCTGCAAGCAGAACAATTGGAAAGCACACTGTCTTAGAGGCAGAGTTTCTCCCAATCCTCCCCTCTTGTTTTAGAGAAGAGAAAGTTATTATATGCCATACCAGGATGCAGTATACTCGCTGCTGCAAACACAGCATATTGGCACAGTTTGGGTACCACTGGCCATGCCTTCCTATTGATTTGCTCTTGGGTAATGCAGAATATCCAGCTTCTGTTCTCACCTTCTGTGCCCAAGACCATGATCTGAGCAAGTCTAACACAGCTACAAATGGGACACAGTTTATTCTTCTGCGTAGCCACATAAGACAATGACCCAATATAAGCCTCTTCAGTTACATATGACCATAAGTAAAATCTAACATGTACTTCAATGGATGTTAACTCACAGCTCACAATAAAAAATTCCTAGAAATTAGCTGTACAGGCTCAGATATAAACAAGTGCATAGGTTTGGGGAAGGCATGTGTGCTGTTTATTGAAGACTGATTTTAAAAAGAATCTGCCTTTATATCTAAGAACAGACTACTCCGTTCTCCAGTAAGATCATTTCATTCTGGTTCTTTGTACAATATGGTTTGTGTTTAGAGAGGTGCATGCATGGAAAGTAAAAGGAAGAAACTAGATAATTAAATTCATACAGATGGAGCAACTTCCAGAGATAATCAACGGCTACATAATAAGCAGCTGACTGTGGTGAATATTGATTAGCCAGTGCTGGCAGGGCCCTACTCGAGGGAGGTCAGCACTGCTGCCAGCTGCCTTGTGAGAGGACAAAAGAGACCCCAGCGAAAGGCAACTTATAAATAGTGCATTTATATGGGCCCACAGTGGGAAAAGAGGTTTGACTTCAGGACAAAAGCATCAACAGCCCTTTTGCTCTTGTTAATAAACTACTGCTGTAAATTATGAAATCCAAGTAAAAAAAAAAAAAACCGCCCCAAAAACCCTGCCCTGGTTGAATTATTTAACCTGCAAACTATTGCTTACAATGTCTACTTGTGATTTTTGGGTTCACTGGAGAATCTTATTCACTGAAATTCTCCCTGCTTTGTAGGGAACCAAATGTTTTCATAACAATCAACATTCCTGTCTTTTGTTCAACAGCAGTTGTATGCTTAGGGAACATCTCCATGGCATGATGTAGCACTGTACAGAGTTATCCTGGCTAGCTTGGGTGCCAGCAGTGATTTAGCCAGGTTAGCAGAGTGCTCTGCTTGAGCTAATATACACTACATTGTCCCATACAGGCATACCCTGAGTGCTCACTGACCAAGGACATTATTTTAAAACAAACTAAAAGATCCCATCTTTCCTAAGACTGCTTAGATAAACAATCCTACTGCTATAGGCATAGCATAGCACCAGCAGACACAAACCAGACTATATATGCTATATATGATAGCGTGTTGAATCATTACAGAACTAAAAAAGGAATCCTACCTTATTAGAAGCTGACAGTCTTTTCTCACAGGCTTTCTGTGGAGAGAGAAATTGAAAAGTTAGGAGAAAGGGATCTGGTAACAGTGTTCTATCAAAGGTGAAGGGGAGGGGGGGCAGGGAGGGAAGGGGCTCTCAGTTCAGTCCTGGCATAACTCACCCAACTTCAAATGAAGCCACAGCAGGACAAACTTGGCCCTGTGTCTTTGCCAAGGAGAACAACAGTAGCCAGCCAAATGCAGCTGCTTTCACATTTCTTCAATGAATCTGTTCATTCTACTCTTGTGATACAGCGGCCATAAACAAAGGCTCCTCATGATGTCTCATTGTGTTATGCATAATTATACAGTATAGACTTCATAAATATACATACTTCTGAGAACCTGACTTACTCAGGCTACTTCTGCGGTGGGTTTAGTACAGGAGGAACAGTGACAACAAAAAAGGAGGAAAAAAACCCTAATGGCTGTTTGGAGAGGCAGTTGGGGATGTTTTATATAAACACATTGTTAAAAAAAGGAACCAACATGAACTGTGCCAAGCAGCATGAACCCAGTCACTTTGCATGTGTTTTCCAATTTTACCCACCCTTTCATTTTTAGATTTCAAGTTCTTTGAGATGAAAACTGTATCATCTTACATTTGTACAGCACACAGCAGCTGCAAAGTGGATTGTGGCTTTGAATGCTACCATAATAGGACCCCAAAGCATGGTGCTTGGATAAGCACCACTCCTCCTGGACCACGGGTTGAGAGACACTCCATTTGCTCAAGTGCCCTCACAAGACCCAAAGGGATGTTTCTCAGGAAACTCCACAAGGGAACCTCAGAATATTCCATTTCCTCTGGCCCTTTTAAAAGACTTTGCTGCAAGGCAAGGGAATTGGTTTGTGTGATTTAATATCATGGGGCATCTTATGTTCACTTTTCGTGCAACAGAAATTCTTCAGATCTCTGAATGCTAATTCTGTAGCACAGCAGGCACAAGTTTCAGCAAGGTCACAAGTGAAGAGCCTCAGAAGGCTGAACTACAAACTCATGTTAGATCAGTGTAAGTAAAGTGTCATTCCACTGAAGTCACTTGAGACCCACCTGTGAACGTGACTAGAGAAAAAAGCTAGTATCAAATTGGAATTGAATTTGATTTTCAAGGATTGTGTCAAGTCAGGTGTGCATAGGCTCTTTTAGTTCTTTGAAGGCTACTGTTTAACCTACCACACTGAGCAATCTCACTTATTTTGCCAGATAAGTTTATGAACTCTTAGGATTATGACAGTTTAGAGAGCTTTAGAGAGGTCCACAATCTGCCAGGCTCACAAAGAGTAATTTTGCCAGGACCAGTTGCTTCAATTTTCATGGAACCATTAGCAAAAAGTGCTATTCAACATGAACAAGAGCTGTAGGATGTGGCCTCTATTGAATAACTTCAAAGATATCAATACATAGTAGTATGTCCTAGGTTTCACTGAAGGCTGGTTAACAAAACAACTTTGAAGTGTGTAAATCAAGACAGTTTAGATAGCTTAACAGGCATGGAAGATTTCTAAAGCAAAACAAAAAACAAAAAACCCAGACTCCACTTCTTGTCAATACTGTTCAGTGTCTGAGCAGTAATGAGACTCCTTTGTTAGGAAGATTGGTTCTATTCTTTTCTGAGGGTATTTGATAAGGTGAGCACAAGGAAAAACAAAACAAAACACCAAGCTCATGGCATTCAGGGACTTAAGAGGCTTCCGCAGCTCCATAATCACAGTTAAACTGCTACACCTGTCTTTGGAGGAATTTGCACAGAAAATATTGCCTATGATACAGTACATGGAATGATGCACCCCCGTGTCCGGCATTAGGGTAGCAGCTGGTGGAAATAGCGAGAAAATGACAAGAATAAGAACCCCTCCATCCCCTGCCCAAGGATTATGTCTAATACCATCATCCTCACCCAACCTTTCCCCAGTTTCCAAAGTCTTACACAGCAAATAATATTCCCAGGAACTCTAAGCACAGTTAGCTCTAGTTACAGTTTCTAGGTAACCATCCAGCCCCTACAGCCCTTGCTGAAACAGTTGGTATTTAGAGGTACTTCCATTCATTCTTCTATATGGCATAACCATTGCAGCAAGGCTTTTAGGCCCACTTACCTTATTTATGAGTTTATATTTAAAGGAGGGACAAATACTAAGAGGCAGAGAAGAGAAAAGCATCGAGTGATTTGAACAGAAATTACTTTTGAGGTTCTAAGTGCATGGCCGTTCCCTTCATCAGATGTAAGCCCTCACAGCTCTCACCTGATGCAGTAAATTATGTTTTGCTATCGTTTTATAGGAACACAACGTGGAAGGTATCACTATTAGACACGGTTTTGTAAAAATCTGAAAAATGTTTTGAAATGTATGCAATAGCATGTAGTTCTTACATAGTCCTTCTCATGAGTAAGTCTCAAAGCAGTTTGTAAAAGGGAGACCAGTATCATTAACCCCAACACTGTAATACGTCCCTCTAAATTACAAGCAGGAAATAACTTAAGGGTTCATTCATCAGTCTCAGGAAATAGCTTCATTAGGGCAACAGGCATGAATAAATTCATAGTGGTTGTAGAATGTGTGAACTGTGGCAATGAATTCTATCATTGTGAGCAGTGATGGACCCTGGAAAGAAAACATCTCATGGGAATCAGCATGCACCAGGCAAAGCAAAACAGAAGAGAATTGGGAATTTTCCAAGACCTATTTGGCATAATATTTTTAAATAGGCAATAATCTATATTTACTTGCATTGCTAAAAACACATTCTTGCTGATTAGAGAAAATCTACATTATAAAGGTTGCCTGTTTGATTACACAATAGCCATAGAATGGAAATAGCACAGACAGTGACTATTATTTCCTCCACACAAACTTTGTGCTGCCAAAGTGTCTCCATTTTTACGGGGTGCAGGAGGAAACCAACTGAAATGGCAAGAATGTGTTTTTAGCAATGCAAGTAAATATAGATTATTGCCTATTTAAAAATATTATGCCAAATAGGTCTTGGAAAATTCCCAATTCTCTTCTGTTTTGCTTTGCCTGGTGCATGCTGATTCCCATGAGATGTTTTCTTTC